CCTGCCGGCGCCCTTGGCCGGCTCCACAACCTTCACCCACTCCAGGCACCTCCCGCTCAGGCCAGGACCTGCTCCCCAGCAGTCACTGAACTGGAATGCTGTCAGGGTCCTGAGGTCCCCAGCACCAGGGCATCACACCTGTGGGTCACTGTGTTTGGAGAGCTGGAGGCAGCACCTTGCAGTGCTGTGAGCTCTCACCCCTGATGGCCTGTGGACCCCACCGCTCCTGCATGCTCCAAGCTGGTGCAGCCTTCCCAAGGTACTCACATGTTGGCCTCAGGGGTGTCAGGCAGGGGGATGCGGAGGTAGGTGATGTCCTGGAAGGCACAAAAGGGAAAGGAGGAATGTGGGTGCTGTGGTTGGGGTGTCATGCAGCTGGGCTGTGGAGTTTTGCACCCCTCAGCACAGCATCCCTTTGGCAGGGGAGAGCAGTGGGGGACAGGCAGCTCATGGGAGAGGGTGGGATACAGGATGAAGCTGGAAATTGTTTCCCATTAGCATTCAAGGCCAGGTTAAACCACACAACAGACGGTTTCCCATGCGGGGTGGCTGCCCAGCTCCTCCGGGACCACTGACCGGGGAGGTGTATGTGCTGTGGGATGCTCAGAGGGAAATGAAGATACTGCAGCTTGGAAGAAGCTGTGGGGATCTACAGCTGCTTGGGTGCAGGACCCTACCTGCAGCAAGGGCTGGGGAGATTCATGGATGGAAACGATGTGTGTGATCTTGTTCCGGGTTAGCTGCTCCAGGTCTTTGGCATCTAAAGGATAAAATCAGATATTAGCATGTATTTGTTTCTTTCCCTTCCCACAAGCGCATCTGCCATGCTTCTGCAGACAGACAGCACGGAAAGCCTTGCTCCAGCATCACACCCCTGCATGCAGCAGTGCAGACATGGGCAAATACTCGGATACACCCTGGAAATCTGGAACCCAAACCCCCTGATACCAAACCAGATCCTTCTCCCTGCGAGGGCACTGGACCCTGCTGCTCTGCTCGGGTAAGGATTCGCACCGGAATGGGAAAACTCCCTCCTCTGCGAGCCAGCAGCTCCCTGCCTGTGCTCGTCCCAGCGTGGGGAGGAGATGCGCTGCCTGCACCTCCCCTGTGCAAACACACACGTGGCACTGGGACTCGCTGCTCCCTCGGGAATTATTTTGTCAACTGTGGGAGTGGAGCTGCAGTGATTCGTATCAACCGTGAGTTCAGCTCCCTCTGCCTGAGCTCTTTAGCACGTGAGGGGTCTGCAGAACACACCTGAACGGAACATGCAGCGCTGTGTCCTCTCTGCAGCTGCATGCACAGAAACCAGGTCTCCTCAGCTGTCTGGGGCAATGATCTGCTTCTTGCTAATGCTCCACATCCCGGGCTGTGCTCCTGGTCACTGCCCAGCACAGTGGTGATTCCACTGCAGGGGGAACATGCTCCTCTTCCTGGCTGGGCAGCTTAGGAGCTGTCTCCCTTCCATGCCACAACCAGCCCAAGAGGAGGAGCAACATTTCCCATCTCGTTGCTTTGGGTTTGTAATCATTCACGTGGTGTAAAACCTTGGCCTGGGAACACAGCCCGGGATGTGCCAACGGCATGATGTGAATTTTAATAGGAGTGAGTCTCAAGAGGGACATTCTGCGGGTGAGCTGGGATATGAGGAGGGAGATGGGGACCTTTGTGGGGACTTGTATGGTGCCCATCACCTTCCCGCTGCCTCGGGCAGGCAGTTACAGTGATTAGTGACACTGGTGTCAAGGCTGGAACAGTTTTGGTTGGAGAAAATGTCTCTGAGCAGTCAGAGCTTCATGCAGGAGGCCTGAAATCTCTGTCCTCACCCTGCATTGCTTGGCAGAGCAACGCTCAGGTGGCATCAGGCCCAGAGACCACTTGCAGGAACCCCTATGATGAACCTGGGCCCCTCTGCTCCCAGCAAGCCAAAGCCCCCCAAGCCCATCCCAAAGTGCTCCATGGGGTGCAGGGAGCACAGGGTGCCCTGGCCGAGGCTTCTGCTCTGGCTCCAATGACATCTTCTTGGCAATTCCCACCAGTGGTTTTAAACTTTCTCACACTTACAGCAGGCATCAAGCTGCCAAAAGAGCCATTAGGGAGGCAGGAGCACTAATAAATGCTGGTTTATTGTGGCAGATGCCAGGTCTTGGTCATGAATTGTCCCTGGAGAGTGAAAACCTCTTAAAATAGTGATTGGTGTGAGAAGGGGTGACTCTGCCTCTGTGAGAAATTCCCTCCTGAGGGTGGGCAGCCCCCTCCTGCATCTACAGCTGTGAAACTGGGGTGCATCACCCCAAACCAAAGCAGAGGGGTTTTGCCTTGTGTTTCCCATGTGCCTCCACTCCCACTGCTGCCAACACAAACCGAGCACAGGGCAGAGCACACGTGGGTGCTGGCAGGGCGTTGCGCAGCGTTTGCAGGCAGAGAGGTAGCAGCCCAAACCCAGCTCCCCACTGGAAAACATCTCCACGGCGGCAGGGCTCTGCTTACCGATGAAGTTCCCAAGGTAGAGGCCGGGCAGGATCTGTGGGACACAAGGGAAAGGGACAGCATGAGCAGTGACCTTGTGCCATGGTACCCACCACGCCAGAACCCCCATGGGAAGCAGCGACCTTGGCTGAAAGGCCAAAGTTGTGCCATTAACGTGATCATCACCAGCCCCAGGGCAGGAGCGGTGCTGGTGCTGCTCCGGCATACAGCACACAGGGCTAGATGCAGCCCTGGCACCCTCATGGGTGCTGCAAGCCAGCCATGGCTTCTTTATTGCTCCTCTTCCTTGTTATCAATAAATTCTTTATCAGGGCTCATTATCTGAGCTCAGAAAGCAGCATACACCTTGTACAGCCTTGGACTATACCCAGGACTTGTGGAAGTCCTGCTGCCCGAGGGACAGGGAGCAACAGGCGTGGGGAAGCCTGCAGGGGATGCAGTAGTTCTCCCTGCCAGCCCCGTGCTCTGCTCCCCTCGCTCTGTGCTGCAGGGAGCCTGTTTCTAACAGCCCAGAAATAGCTCGCTCTGGACATCGTGTCTTCATCTTATTTTCCTTGGGAAATTCCACTCCTCGTGATGAAAAGATAATTACGTGACGATGTCTCTGTTAATAGCACTGCAGATGCAGGAGGACACCTTCTTCCCCAGAGCTGTTTTGTATTTTCCCTATCTCCCAGCCTGGGCAGCGAGGCTCCCGAGCTGTTCACCCCCGTGTCCAGCTGGTTCCCCTCCAGCTTCTCCCTCCAGTGATGTTTGGTGCCCAGGACCGGGGTAGGCAGAGCTGATTCCCACCAGCAGAGCTGGGCTCCCACTTATCCCACTGCCCACGTTTGGAAACGTTTCTCTTGGCTGAACAGCTTAAAGAGGGCTTGCTTTATGATTCATAACATTTTAGCCCAGTTCTCTATCAGCAGGGCACCGTTAGCTTGCAGCTGCGGCACTGAGAGGAGCGGGTGGGAGAGCGCCAGTCAGCAAGGGCAGCTCCCAAGGGCAGGACATCCAGACATGACTAGGGACACGTTCCCGTCCCCAGCACCCTTCTGACCCGCTCCTTGCTGGAGATAATGGGGCAGAACAGTCCCGTCTGCAGCACTGGGCACTTCCCCAGGTACTGAATGGTTATGGGGGGATGTTTAAAGCTTAGAACCTGGACATTTTTGCAGGAAGAATTATCTGTTCAAGCTGTGACAAGGAGAATCTCAAACAACCGTAACACAGTGCCCGTCCCCTCCACCCCGTGGTGCTGAGCCCCACGCAGAGCCCGGCCCCGCTGAGCAGGG